ATTTTTGGCCCTTTTTGCATGACAGCTCTTCTCCGTTCAAGTCTTTTGTTAAGGGAGTGTTTAAGCTTCCTTGTATAGAAGACCTCTTGTTGGAAGGTCCCGGCCAGAGGCAAATTTACAAGGCGCGTCCCTCGGTTTTCAGTGGTTGCCCGAGATTCAGAATGTTAGCCTTACGGGTATTTTTTAGGTGAGCTTTTGTCATCCTTGTTTACCATACATGTCTCTTTTCTTTCAGCTCTGCTCCTCACCTTGTCGTTGCTGATCTTTTAGTCTAACCTCGTTGTGTTTTGTCTGATTTGGCAGTGTCATTTTGGTCAGTAGTTTGATCTCCGTTTGTTTTGAACCTTTTGCCTGATTTGGCATCGTCGTTTTGACGGTACGTGTTCTGGGCTAAATTGTTTTTACGTCGCGTTTGCTATTTTATTGTGTTTTGCCTGATTTGGCAGTATCTCTTGGGCCGTTTTGATGGTTTTTGTGGCATCCCATTTTCTTTTTGTATTATGTATCTCTTTTTTATGTTATTCTACCTTTTGTTTTTTGCTTACTTTTATTTTATTTTATTTTATTTCTTGTAGACGTTCTGCAATCGGGGATTTGGCGTGACGCAAATTCTCTGGTCGATCTATCTTTGCGTAGGCTTGTTCCAACCTTCTCCATTTACAGTTGGAGTCCAGGGCTCCTTCCACCGAGCAGAAATACAGATCTGGCTGGCTGAAGTGGCGTAAATGGGCAGCTCCTTAGATTGGCGGGGGGGCCATACATCCCTCCTAGCAAGGTCTCATAAGGTTACTCGCCCGGTTTCTATTACCGAGAGGTTACTCAAGCTTCTTCCTTCATCTACTGAGTCATCCTCCCTCTTCGTTAGACGAATTGTTTTATCTAAGTCTGAGGAGTATTTTCATGCTACTAAAGGCGTTTCGTACACGACGCTTAGAGAGGAATTTAGGAAATACGTTAAGCCATTTGTAGATGACATCACTAGTTATGGCACGCATAGTATCAAGTCTGGCGCCGCTTGAAATCCTGCATGTAGGAGTATTTCTGCTGATCTGCTGGACACGCACGCCGGCTGGAAATGTGCCATTTCAAAGAACAGGCACATTAAGCACACTGTTAATGATCGCTTAAAAGTTACTCGATCTATTGCTCTTTAGTTTCGGATTTCGTTTGCTTACGATAAATTATTTAATTAGTAGTCTCGGCAGGGGACTAAGTCGTGCCTGGTCCTCCTCAGATTTCCTATCCGTTTTTCCCACAGGGTTTGCCCCCCCTGGCACGGCTTTCTCTAGTTTACATCTTCAGTCTCTCTTTTTGTAGATGTTATTATTATCTGCTTTAATAAAGTGGCGTTATGGCGTTACACTCAGGCCATAATCCAATATTCTCCATGAATTTCTGTTGTGCTGTATGTCGTTCTATAGACTAGGTTAGTGCAGAAGCTGTCTGTCGTATTGCATACTAGTTGCACTCGTCGCGTGAGAGTCCTGATAGTTGTGGCTTTGTGTGATGTCGGGTTGTAGAATGACTCGTCCAGTAATTTGTAGGTATGTGTCGGTTTCCTGTAAACTGCTCTCCGTAGTGAGTTGTCGTCAGGGCTTACCTCAGGTTGTCGAAACGTCAGTCACCACTACCGACAACAGTCCTTCTTAGGACTACACTCACCCGAACGATCAAACTACACTATTACATGTTACCCACGGGTTAACACCATTTACTGTACAGAATTTCTCCACACTCAACGAAATGTTTTCCATAAGAACCCTAATGAGTTAGTGCTGTAATTACGGCAAGATCCTCCGTGAACTGAACAAATTTTGAGCGAGTAAATGGTAGTCGAAACAGACTGAGGTAATGCAAATTAAAGAGAGGCTTCACCGAAATATTTTTATTTGTGTATTGATAAAAGTGATTTAAAAGGCTTCTATAAGTCTGACACCTGTCAAACAGAGGGCGCGTAAGAAAAAAGGACAACAACAACAACGGCGCTGGTTTGGCAAATAAACTTACGTGAAAGTAATTGTAATTAAATTTAAAAGTATATTTTGAAGTTATGGGAGTTTGCTCGTTTGTTTAGTGCAATCACGCGAGTAACTCTGGTCTTTCATCAAAAGGAAAATTTTTATGCAGCTTTTTATTGCTGAATTCCTTCGTATTCTGTTGTGAAATTACGGAAGCGACTGTCCGATTTGAACGCACTTGCAACGACTTGCCGAAAGCGTATTTAAAGTATAGAAGACTTCGCTCACTGGTTTTTAATGAACAACTTGTTTGAGATTCAGATATATGATAAATGAAATTTCCACTAATAATTTCAATTGTAAAGAAATACCTCACCTTTTAACTTTCTGAGCTTCTTCTACTGAAGGTTTAGGTTAGTCACAAATGGTTTTTAGGCCGCGCGTCAACCCATTTAATGACATATTTGCTACCAAAATTCATTTAAAATGATTCCCCTGCTGGGTGTCACGTGGCTATTCGGTCTCCTCTCGCCAAACATAAAGCTTTCGCTTACATCTTCACCATACGTAACTCTTCTCAGGTCAGTGTTCGATGGTAACTGTCAAAATTATTCAATCTCTATCATAATTTTACTTTCTAACCAAGTGAAACACCATTACGATGGTCACATGATATTTTTTGGAAGTTTAAAAACAACAATTCTGTTAACCATGCAAGAGAAGACAGACAATTCATGCAATTCTCTTTCCTTCTTGGAAATCTTAGTAGGTATTTTGTCTAATTTGTTTGAATATTGTAAAAATTAATGATCTTGAAATCATGTTTATGCTGTAGGGTTTCCTGATTTTCACTCTACACTGCATGCGAAACACTCAGGTAAGAAAAAAAAACAAACTAATTGTTAACTCCATATCATCAAGTTTTAGTGTTTCGACAGATATCCGAGTACTTGTGCTAAGAACCGTGTTTCGCGTCGCTCGTCTATCTGCAGATCAGAGAGCGATTCAAAAGAAAGATGAACATCGTTTTTCGATCTTCTATAAAGAGCAACTCCACAAGGAAGAGCTCACAGGTCAATCCAAGTGAGGATGGGGATGTATGGGCAGTTAAATTGCAGTCTTGTGCTCAGTTTTAATCGAAATCGCACCTAACTTAAATAACTGGATCCAGCCAACCGGAAATGACAGTCAATTACTTATCGCAATCACTTAGTAAACAGCAATAAGTCGGTTACGATCGATCTGACTTGTGATCTGCAGCTAAAAAGAGGTCTTTCTTTTCATAATTGTTTAAGCACTCAACTAGTTGTAATTTTAATCCATCTTCGTTACGATAACAAGTTTATTTTCTGGGCGATAGTATACTTGTAGGCAAGATTCATCGAAATAAACAAGTCTATAAATTCAAATTTCTAGTAGCTCAGTATCTTGATGACTTTCCTTCGAGTAAGACCACAGTCCACTACAGACAAGGCG